AGCTCAGCTGAAGGAAGACATCGTGTTTGCTGTAGAAATTGTTCATTGGCAAAATCCAGAAACATCCACATCCACACCAATCATAATGATTCTGTAACTACCAAAAATTCTGCAACGCCTCTTCCCACAAAGGTGACCATTGATGAAGTTAAACGGTGGTGTTAATATTGAGATCTGAGTAATGTATAGAAGTGCTGATCACTGTATTATACACCTGACTCATCTAACACTGTATGTGACCTATACTGGAATTAAAATGAAAATAAAAAGATTCCGTTAAATTTACCCTGGAATATTTTCCCTCTGAGTTTAGCATGGATCAGAGAGGGCAGAAAATTGGAAGATGTTCACAATCAGTTCTAGATAATAATACTGCTGGGGGTAGAGTGATTTGAGTGCCAGGGGCCCCTGAGTCCTAAAATAACAGACTTGAACTCTCCTTAAGAGAGTTCATGGCCAAGTTCTTGGACCTGTTGTCACCTAAGCCATCCTTACTTTCTGAGCGTGCTGAGGAAATACTGTTTAATTGGCTTATTGTGTACTCATTTTCTATTTATATAATGAGTAGAAACTTAATTTAGATTTTCCTACCTCCGTATATGCAAATATACAGAAAAGCAAAGATAAGTAAGACAAAAACAAAAATTAGTGGGTTTTTTTTTCTTTTTGGTTGAACCCTACCTTATATCCCCCGCAAGTTTCTTCATGTGCCAGATTCTTATATTTTATTCTGTTCTCCTTTTTTGATTGTCAGTGAAGAATGGATGTAACCATCCATCATCATCAAAGTAGAAAGCCTGATGTATTAAAAAGCATCCTCTTCCCCTCTTTCAAGCGAATATAACAAATAAAACATCCCCCCCCTTGTACAGTAGATCTTTATTTGTGTAGCTCTAAGGAAAACAGGTAATTTTGTGAACCGCATAGATGTCAGGTGAAGTATCAAGTCAGCTGCTGAAGAGGCTGCTTTTAAAATCTCCCCAAAGAGACCAGCAGCACGGTTCGGCGAGCGCTAAGAGCTTCTTGAGAGGAGAAGGGGCTGTTTGCGGAGCAGGTGGGAGGTGTTTAAAGAGCTGACGAAGCTCCTTCCACCTCAGTGGAAGATTCCGTGGAATTGAGCCATCCTGTAACACGGGTGAGCTGGTCAGCTGAGCTTTGAAGCTCAAATAAGAGAAAATGTGTGACCAGACAGAAATCCAGGAAGCGTCGTGTCCAGGGAAGTCTTTAATAATGTGGCCAGTATCTGCTTAGCCATACCAATAGATAGCTGTGCTTTGCTGAGCCACGCTCAGGGCACAAAGGGAGAATTTACTGTATAATGTTAAGTCATTTTCCTGTGTCACCCTTAAAAATAAAATATGACACTGTCTTGTTACATGACACATGGCTGGTCTGAGATCTCTTAGATTCTCACACATTTTCAAGATGATCCCATGACCTGCACTTGAATATGGGGTGTTTTTCTCCCCATTTGTACTGCCATTTTACGTTATTTTCGTTGCACTGATCAGTCTCGTTCCTTTTTTTTATTTTATTTTTTTTAATTCGGCAGGACCAATTTGAATTCTAATTTTATGTTTTTAAATTCTCATCAGGTATCCTGCTTAGAGTGACTTAAAAGTTTAACCTGTGGATTCAGGAATGATCCTTCGGTAGGGCCATTTATCAAGGACCACGAATGCGATTGTGATTTTCTAATAAGATCTTTTTGGAACTTGTTCACCCGCCTTAGATTTCATAGTCCACCCTCTTTTTTTGTTAATATAGTGATACCAGTGATGAAACTAAGATTCAAACTGCTTTAAAATTAAAATAACAATAGGTATCCCTATTCTTTGATTTTTCTAGAAATGAACAAAGTTAGATTTTTCGGTGTAAAGAATTTTTCTCAATATTTTTCTGCCTATCCCAGTAAAGTCAACTTAAGGAAGAAATGGTGAAAATTAACACTCATTTTAAGCAATTCTTCAATATAATATTCATGATAATTCCTGTTATAAACCCACCTCTCCTATGTGCCTTTAGCAGACACTTCCCTTAATTTTAAGCCTCTTATAAATCTTCTCACAACGTAAGTAGTTCATGAACATGCTGTTTGAAAGTTTTAAGCCTCGGTCCAGTTTACAGTGGTGGTTAAAAGTATGAACTCTGGAAGCAGGGTACGAGGGCTTGAATCCCTTCTCTAATTATATACCAGACAAACTCAGGCAAGTTACATAATTGTTCTGTGCCTCAGTTTCCCATCTGTGAAGTGTGAATGACATGTTCACTCTCATATAGGGTCATTGGAGGGAAAAAAGCCCTGGCAGGAGCTCTGCACTCTGATACCCAGTGGCAAGGGTCTTCACTCCAGTACAGTGTGGACAATCTTTTTTTCTAATGTTAGCTGATTTCAACATTGTTGATAGTAAAAACAGCCAGAGCTCCTTTGTTCAACACTTTCTGCATATGAGATGCTTAATGCCTCTCGTGTGTCTTTAAAGCCAATAATGGTCCCAGAGGCCGTTTTGTTCTCTTTGTGCCATAGTTAGGAAGCTGGAGCTTACAAAACTCAGTAACTCACTCATCCAATCCCAAGAATTGCCCAGAAGGCCTGGATGGGAACCCAATATGCTAACTACAGAAGCCAAGCTCTGAGTGCATTCCATGACCTGACCCTAAACGGGCCAAAGGGAAGCACACAGACGAGCCTACCTCTACTCATAAACTCACCTCCACCTTGTCTTTCTCCTCCTCTACTGGGATGTCACCTTCCTGGTTTTGCTTGACAAACCGCATCTCACAGCCTGCTTTCCCATTTGAATCCAGTGTTTGTAGAGTCTTTGCTGCTGGGAGTGCCTTTTTTACAACACTCATAATATTCTCTTTCGGTTTAAGGTCCCTTGAGAGTTTTTGGGCATGGCTAGTCAATTGGTTCTCCTTATCTATACTTTTTTTTTAACAAGTATTTTTTTTTCCTAAGATTTCAATATTATTTCCTGATCTCTGCTATGTTGTCCTCTTTTCCTGTTAATCGTACTTACTGAATTAATGATCAACACTTTCATATAGAAAAGGGTTTCTTTTCTGATATTAGGAACCATTTTTGGCAAGCTTAAATGTAGGTATTACTTTCCTGAAGGAAAAAAAAAATGCATTTATCTGGAGAATATCAGGTGTATTTGGTTTTCCCCTTTTGCCCTGGATTTGCTGCCTAGCTTGTCACAACTCTTCTAGAAAATGAAATTTTATTTGCCTCTGTGCATTTGTTCTTCCAAAAGCAAGGTTATGCCTGGCCTAAATTCTCAGCCCCTGTCACTGTAATATAAAGTACATTGTTCATAAATTTTTAAGACATGAATTTTAATTACACATGTTTGTACTATTTTGGAGAAAATATAACTCTTCCAGAAATTGCAAATGAAGTAAGACACATTTTCTCTTTCCAAACTTAATGTTCATAGTCTCGGGTGATCATCTTGAAACCGAATCCCTCAGGACAGTCGTCATCATTTCGAAGACTGCTTCTCGGAATATATGTACATTTTTTGTTTAGAAAGTTTTTCCTGAGTATCTTTCTACACTTCACCTTGTGACAGTGGCTCGTCTCCTAATCTGGGTTATTGTAAGGTTAAGTATTTCTGTTTGTTGGAAATGAGAAGCCTTGACCTCTTCATTAAAACTCAGTTCTCAGCCTGAGAATGTTTTCCTCCAGTTCACCTTACAACCTTTTTGTCATTTGACACAGTTTCCTTCATTTCTTTTAAAACATTGTTTGCTCAGTGTGACATCGTTTTGGATGTGTTTGATTTGGCATACATCCCCTAAAGTGACAGAGGACAAAATAAGCTTTACTGTCATCCTAAGCGTTCAGGAAGTCAGAGTTGAGGGGTTTGACTTATAATTGAAACCTTCTTCCATAACAGAGACCCCATGGTGTACGCAGCTGCACGCAAACACTGGCTGCCTTTTGGCTGTCTTCTGGTCTGCGGTGCCAGGAAGCCATCGACTGTCTCGGATCGGGCCTGGCTCGCCATTATTGCAACAAACCATAACTGGTCCCATGCCGTTAACAAGAAAAACACTCTTTCCCTTGTATATGTTCATTACACCTTGATGTCAAATATTTTCGAGAATCAGATACAAAGAATGCCGTGAAACGAACTGGAAAGAATCCACGCAGCAAACAGAATTGAAACTCAGTTTGGAAACTGGTCAAACTGACTTTAGCAACTGATGCACAAAATCTTCTCAAAACAATGCAGACGTTTTGAAAAGATGCAGATACTTCTGGAAAAGGCACGCCGGCTCCTTCGTTTGTCTGCGTTGCTGTTGGGCCGGTCTTTGCCTTCTCCCACATGCCGGCCCTTCACGGAATTTGTTACCCTGACAGCTTTAGTCGAAGGAGAGGGCTGTGAACATCTTGGGGGAGTTGCTTTCCAGGAGCAAGAACAGTCCCGTGTTTAACACCCCAGGACTAATTGTGGAAATGGGAGACTTGCCTCTCCCTCTCTCCCTCCACCCCCATGCGTGTGGTTTTTTTCCCCCTTTTATTCGGGAAAATTAACCACGTTACTGTTTGTTTTACACTCTTAATAAAATTAATGTAACATCACCTGAACAATCACACTTCCTGCATTTTCTCCACTTGCACAACAAAGAACCATCTCTCCGTGACCCCTCGTAAAAGATTTCCAGGGATCCTCTGGGTTTGCATCTTTCGCGGAGCTAACGTGTGAGATGAACAAAGCTTCTCTGGGGTGTTGGTCAACAGTGAACACAGAGGGTTGCATTTTCCCGGCCGCCGAGAGGCTTCTTTCTGAGACAGTGTGCTGGTGATCATGGTACTGGGTCACACTGAATGTATTGGTTCAAATATGACAGATTATTTTTTTTATTCTTCCAAACCTTCCCCCCCTTTTTTATCTTATGTGTGTAATTTCCCCCCTGCCTAGACCTGGTTAACCATTTCTGTGAGCAGGTCCTCAATTTTTTACTTTGTTCCTACTTTCCTGTCGTAGCCCCATCTTCCCCCGGTGTCGACTCCATCCCCTTGCAGCGCACAGGCAGCCAGCATGGTCCCCAGAACGCCGCCGCGGCCACCTTCCAGAGGGCCAGCTACGCCGCCGGCCCAGCCTCCAATTACGCCGACCCCTACCGACAGCTGCAGTATTGTCCCTCCGTCGAGTCTCCGTACAGCAAATCCGGCCCTGCCCTCCCGCCCGAAGGCACCCTGGCCAGATCCCCGTCCATCGATAGCATTCAGAAAGATCCCAGGTGGGTACCAAACCTTTTCTTTTCCCGACCTTGATGCCTAAAGCGCTTGTCCAGCCTGGTACTGTTCCGGCATTATTTCATTGACGTCCCATTGTGACCTTCGTGTCACTGGCTGAGCGTTAAAGGGTTGACTCCACGTTGGGTTCTATAATCTTTGGTTTGGTCTGGAGTAGGGGCATGGTTCGTGGACCTCTAGTATCTTCTGTGGCCCTTTGATCGGAGCATCAGCAGGTGCCGGAGATAGGAGCTCTTTGAGAAGATCAGGTGCGGTTCTCTTGTGTAGAGTGAAAATCGAGGATTGGGGGGTTACGTCACTTGACTTCAGGTGGCACACGGTCTGGGTGATTGCTTGTCTCAGCGGGACCCCGCTTTGTCCCCGTGCATGCGTGTTTCCCAGTATCAGAGTGTCAAGTGGTCCATCTTCCAGGTTATACCGAAAATGGAAAATTTAGAAAATTCGATTACCTTTATTTTTCTATGTCTGAAAGTAAACGTGAGGTTGAAGGAGTTTGGGTGTTGATAAAAACTTGGGCCTAATGTGTCAAAGAAATTCTTCTCACCAAGCTGTGTTTCTCTTGGCTTTCTTTTCTCCCGCAGGGGTGAGAAATTTAACGGCACTCTGCTTGTGAAGTTGGAATTGGTTAAATGATGTTTTATTCATAGCTGCTTGATTTATGCTGATAGAGTCACATAAATATATATCTGCATCTGTGAATATTATAGATATGTCAGATTTTTGGTATTTCTTTATAGCCGGGCATGTCACTTGGCTCTGGTAGGATACTTAAAATTCCTCTCAAGGAATTTTCTCTGATAGAGCACACGAGTGCGTGTATATTGTATTGGGTTTCATAGATTATTTTGTGAAAAGAAATCCCTCCTACAAATATAAAAGGCCGAATGAGACCGTTTTATGGTTTGTTTGTTTTTTTTTTTTTTTTTTGAGATAGCTACTTCAGCATTATTCAAACTGGCTTGGAGGGTCCGTGTTACATACTATATTCGGTGAAACCTCCATTATTATAAAAATAAATTGTAACAAATACTCACTCTTAACTCCTGGAAATAAGAAGTATACCTGCATTTACATTGTGTAGTATCTGCTTATCCAGGTTTTTCAGTTTCAAAGGTCCCGAAATCTGCCCCAAATCCTTAAGTACTTTCGGCTCATGTGGATGGAATGTTCTTCAGATAACACCTCAGCAGTCTATTTTTAAGTAATTTTTCTCTACATGCTCCTGGAAACCTATAGAAATAAGGAATAGGAAACACAGGAATCGCTAAATAGAAAAATACATAATGAAATTGGCATTGTTGTATTTAACATTTTCTGTTTAAATGAGGATAAAAGTTTTATCTCTGAAGGAAAGGTTTTACATTTTCCTATTAGGGGAATTTGGCTTAATAAGAGGCCAAATTTATTTGTTTCTCAAGCCACAGCTCAGTGTCTTTATTTTGTACTGCATATTAAATGCATTTTATTTTATTAAATGGTGTATCCTTCCCATTTCATATTACTATCATTTTTATAACCTTTTTTCTTCTTTAGTGAGTTGTCATAGCTCTCTTACCTTTTTAAGTTATGGATTATAGCAATTATATTTACTGCGTGCCTACTATCAACCAAAACGGGATAACCAGTTAAAAATGTTACCATAAATAAGAGAATATTGGCTACTAATTCTTTGTATGTGTAAAATGTATATGCAAGTCATTGCATTATATGAATTACAAATTCACTCTTGTTTTCAGGAATGCTAATCCATTAGCCTTAAATATGTGTTAAATCTGAAAAAAAAAATCATACCACCATCTTAAGCCCAGAAATATCAACAAATGGGAACCATATCTGTAGAACCAGAATTGTATTGTTGTGACTTAATTAGTGCAAAAGGAACTAATCATTCAGCATCACACAAAATGGATGGGGTTTAAAATACAATAATGCGGTAAGAGTTGTCTTAAAATAAGGGAATATGCCAACCTGTTCAGGTTTAATTGACAGACATTTCAAATCTAAAATTCAAGTCCAAAATCTAATGCTTCTTTTATGACAAGATTTTTGTGTCTTCCATTGGATAATGAATTTTGATTGTTATCAGGTGACCAATACCAGAACTAATAGGTTTAACCTCTGGGGTTCAAAATTGTTTATTTTGGCATTATGACTTATGATTTACACTTTTGCAGTCTTTACCCTTCTTTCAAGCTTCGGATTTTAAAGAGAATTTATTGTTTTATTTATCATTAAATACCAGACCATCTAATAAGCCTCTACTATTTCGAACATATGTTTCCAGCACATTATAATTCTCAAAGTACCTTTACTTACATCTTTGACGTAATTCTCCTTTGAGGAAGGAAACTGATAGGTTTAGTGCTTTAAATATATGGAGAATCCTAGTGGTAAATGACATTGGAGATCACGTTGCCGGCAAGTGGGTATGTGGGCTAGAACCCGTACTCTTAGGACATAGCAGCATGCATTGGCATGAACATTTTCATTTAAAAAAAAGGAAAGTGAAGGAATAGACTCCCATCTTTTATAATTTTTTTTTTTTTTCAGAAGGTGAGTGAATGGTGGTATGGGCGTGTGTAGGAGTTTGGAATGATAAAGGAAATGATACAAATTGCCTAAATCGGTCTCCTTGCTCTGCTAATTGTTTATTGGGTCTGGGTTCTTTGTCTTATTTTTTATTTCTTTGACTTTCTTTGCTAATACCCACCTTATACATCTTACTGCAGACCTGTGTGTTTTCTCTATGGAAGAATTTTAGTATTACTTGATGAGAAGTTTTCTAGAAAGTAGTGTCTTTTAACATAAGATTTTGATATCAAGATAACCCCATTTCAGGGGCACCTGGGTGACTCAGTCGTTAAGCATCTGCCTTCAGCTCAGGTCATGATCCCAGGGTCCTGGGATCGAGCCCCACATCAGGCTCCATGCTAGACAGGATGCCTGCTTCTCCCTCTCCCACTCCCCCTGCTTCTGTTCCCTCTCTCGCTGTGTCTCTCTCTGTCAAATAAATATATAAAATTAAGTTAAAAAAAGATAACCCCATTTCAGTCATTAGACTTAAAACCAGAGACTTCATTATCTCTTAATTCATCTAGGACACAAGATTTAAAAAATTGATTCCAAAGGCTTGGATTTTTCTGGCTTGCTTGGCTCAGTCATATACAATGGCAAAACTTAGGTCTTTTTGCTTTTAGGCTGCCCCCATGGTGTGCTCCAAGAAAGAATGCACAGATACCTTTTTATGCAGAGATGATAAAATCTAATTTCCTTTTTAAAGTCAGCAACCACTGAGGAAATTTCCATATGTATACATATATATATATATAAATTTTGCAACATTTGTCAAAAAGTTATTTTTGAATTACATGTTATTTTCCATGAAATGTGAATTTCTTAAGCATTGTTGACACAGCTAATATATTTTCAATGCTATACCAAATGCTGAATTTTCTCAGCTATTGTTTTTAGACATCTAGGTCACATATAAATCTTAACATCGATTTCGGCTCAGGTCATGATCAGGGTCCTGGAATCGAGTCCTGCGCTGAGTTCTATGCTCAGCACAGAATCTATTTGGGATTTTCTCTCTCTCCGCTTCTCCCTGTGCCCCTCCTCATCCTGGCACACGCGTTCTCTCTACATAAGTAAGTAAATAAATAAAATCTTTAAAAAAATAAAAATAAAAAAATGAAAGTACTATAAATGTTCTTGTCTATGAAAGGAAAGTTAGGACTTAGACATTTACTGACAGAACTTAACGTAGGTTGTGGATCGTAACAGGAATAGCGTCTCTTAATCCTGTTCGATTCATCACTTTCCAAGATATCTGTAGTTTCTGATGTACACCATCCCCAGCAATTCTGCAAACATGCTAAAAGGATCCAACTTATTATACACATGGTTTAAAGTTAAACTCCATCTTCTCTCTGTTATTCAACGTAACAGAAATACACCTCTTCAGTGCCAAACTGGGGCCCAGATTTGTAACCGCCTTTCTGTTGATGCCATCAGATTTGTAGTCCATAGAATCTTTTGTTTCAAGTCACAATATTTAAACAATAATATAAAAATATGCATTTTCTAAGGAATTGCCTAATTGCATTTCGACTCTATTTTATCGGTTATTTTAAGATGTTACTGAAGTTATTTTACTACTGGGTGTTGTATTAGTAAATGTCATTACATAAACCTGCTTATAAATATCTCATCAGTGGGTAAGCCTAGATTAAGACTGTTTTCCAAATACCGTCTCTCCATTGCCCGCTACGAAACCAAACATACAGCATACATCGGGAAACAAAATATACCACAACAATGTTTTATAAAAGGTGAAGATTTGAAAAATAGTTTTTAAAACTTTCTTAAAGTTTAAAGCATTATTATGTAACTTAAACAACATGGCTGAAGTGTTTATAGTGAAGCAGTTACCTAGTTTTCTCATTGTCCAGTTCTCCTGAATGGTGAGATCTCTGGGGAGCTCGGTTTTCACTTCGTCTGCTCTGTAATCTTTCATCTAACTGGGGGAAATGCAGCATTCACAATTTAAAGACCATCAGAAGGTAAAGAGCACTTGGAAGCCATTTGCTCAGTGAGACTAAAAGCAAGCTTAACAGTGGGCCTGAATGCCTCTCACCACAGGCCACTCACCATGTCTTGAAAGCATCTTACTAATTCTTTGAGTAACTCGAGCCTTGTAAATTAATTTTATATTGATATAAAATCGGCACCTCTTCTAAGCTCACACCCTGATCTTCTTCCTGACCTTTGAAATCGCATGAGAATACGCCTACCCCTTTTCTCCAGGACACCCCTCGAGGCCAGTTCCAGCCTCTCTGCAGGACCCAGGCCTGCTGTCCCTGTGCTCACTGCATCCCCTCCCTGAGCAGTCATTTCCGGGACCCTCATCTGGGAGTCCTGCAATGGCCTTGCTGGTCGGCTCCTGCATCCCCAGAAGTGCAGGAAGGGAGCGAGGGTTCCCGTG